ATCAGACAATAATGTGATCAGATATGGAGGATGTGGCTCCTGCTAAACTGGCTTTTGTTGTTGTTGTTGTTGTTTTGTTTTTGGCTAAAACTATACTTTATAAGGATATGCACAGATGGCCATAGGAGAAGTTCAGACAAGGAGTTTTTGTCAGTAAACTACTTCATTGCTTTCCCAAAATGGCTGAAATATTCCTTTGATGCATTTATACCATGAACTTTTCATCATGATAGAAAAAGGTGCATCTCAGCTGCTCTTCTCTCATTGCTGGGACAAATACCCTACACCCAAAATGAAGAAAGGAAAGGTTTATTTAGCTCACAGATAATGATGGAGGTTTCAGTCCATACTTGACTGGCTCCAAGGCAGAGCAGTACATGACAGAGAGCAACCTTTCAGGGCAGCAGAAAAGAGCAGAGAGCAAAAGGAGTAGGAGCAACACTGGCTATGGAGAGCAAGTCTTTCTCCCTTAAGTTGCATTCAGGCCATCTGCTCCAGGATGCATGTAGTACTCACACCCATAATCCCAGTAGCATTTATACCCATAATCCCAGAAGCACTCACACCCATAATCCCAGTGGATCATGAGTTAATTACAAACTCTAGAAGTTCACCCCATGACTACACGAGGCTTTGAGGGCATAACTAGACACAAACCATAACAGGGTGTTAACAATGCAATGATCAAAATACCCTGACATGTGTATGGCACTGGCTGATCATCTACATATTCCCCAAAATGAAGTAGATGTGAAGCCCACAAAAGTTTTACTAGATTTATATAATAAAAAAAAATTAAGGGCAGATGAACAAAAACCTTCTTCAAATTGTGGTAACATGGGAATCATGACTGTTCAACCAGTTCCTGGATTTGAGTCAGTTTACAGACCCAAAACCCCTTGAATGAAGGCCAGGTCCCCTTGGGGAAGGATCCTGTGGCACCAAAAATTTATAGATTCAATCTTTCTCCCATCTTCCCCCAGAGGACCAAAGGCCTTTTGCTCGAGTGAGTGACTCTACATTTTAGGAAGGGAAATAACCAGACATTTTGAGGGACTACTGGACAGTATTTCTGAAGTAACACTGATTCAAGGGAATCCAAAACATCGCTAGAGCCCTCCAAAGAGAAAAGAGGTCAATGGAGGTTGGGTGGTCAATGGAATTTTAGTAAAGGTCCACCTCACAGTGGGTTTGCTAGGTCTTCAGTTCCATTCTGTAATCATTTCCAGTTCCAGGCTTCATAATTGGGATAGACATATTTAAGTACTTGGTAGAATGCTAACACTGGTTCCTTAACTGGTAATATGAGGGCTACTATGGTAAGAAAGGCCATTAGAGTTGCCTGGTAAAGTAGGAATCCATAAGCAGTATCACATTACGGGAGGGACTGCAGAGATTAGTGCCGCCATCAAGGACCTGAAGGATGCTATAATGGTGGTCCCCACCACATCTCTATTTAATTTTCCCATTTGGGCTGTGCAGAAGGCAGAAATCTTTGAGAAGATGAAAAGTAACTAAAAAATGGAATCAAGTGGTGACTCTGATTGCAGCTGTTGTGCCAGATGTGGTTTCCTTGCTTGACCGGATTAACACATCTTCTGGTCCTTGGTATGCAGCTAATGATTTACAAACGTCTTCTACATTACTTGTCCATAAGGACCACCAAAACCAATCTGCTCTCACCTGTCAAGTTCAGCAATATACCTTCACTCTCCTACCTCAGGGCTTTAGAACTCTCCAGCCCTGTGTCACAACCTACTTCATAGGGATCTTAGTGGCCTTTCTCCATATAAGATACCACACTGGCTCATTACATTGGTGTTATACCGATTGGGCCAAATGGGCAGCAGGTAGTTACTACTCTGGATTTGATAGGAGAGCATTCGAGAGCCAGAGGATGGGAAATAAATCCAGGGAACATTCAAGATTCTTCTACATCAGTAAAATTTCTAGGAGTCCTGTGGAATGGGGCATGTAGAGAGATCTCTTCTAAGGTAAAAGATAAGTTATTGTGTCTGGTCTCCCAACAACAACAACAAAAAGGCACAGCACCTACTGGGGCTATTTGGATATTCTTTACTTAGGTGTCTTATTCTGGTCCATTTACTGAGTAACTTTGTGTCTCAGTTACTCTTTTCTCATTGCTGGGACAAATACCCAACACCCAAAATGAAGGAAGGAAAGTTTTATTTAGCTCACAGTTACTAGATGTTGCAGTCCATACTCTGATGGCTCCAAAGAAGAGTGTCACAGGGCAGAGAGCATCCTTTCATGGTGGAAGCAAAGAGCAAGAGAGAAAAATGGAGGAGTAGCAGCAACAATGACAGCAGAGAGGAAAGCTGTCTCTCTTAAATAACATTCAAGCTATCTGCCCCAGGATCACACCCATAATCCCCTCAGTACCCATAATCCTAGTGGATCATGAGTTAACCTCAAATTCTAGAAGTCCCCACCCCATGACTGCATGAGGCTTTGGGGGTCAAGCCATAACACTCTGAAAGCTTCTAATTTTGTTTTTTATATTTTTTGTATTTTTATTTATTTATTTATTTAATTTTATTGAGAAACAAATAGTAATGAGAATTTCAAAACAGGAGAGTAGGACAGTTACAATAATTAATGCATTGCATATTGTCTTCGTAGTAGTCATAGTACAAGATGCAGACATGATATCCTGTCCAAACACTATTAGTGCAAATCTCTTTTCTCATTGAATCAAGAGAAAGTAGCTGTATATCTATCCTAACTATTTTGTATATACAGATACGAAATGATCCTTCATTTATATCCCCCTTTTCCATTTAGTTTTGTCAGAGATGGACATTCCATTGCCATTTAAATATTGTAGGTGTGTGAATTCAGCAAAATAATCCAATGTAGTTCAGTAGTCATAGTGGGTTGTCTGTAGGACTGTGCAGACCTCAAAAGTCATCTCTGAAATTGCTGGGCTCCAGAATTTACTCACTACTCTAGCTGTAGAAAGCTCCTAATTTTGAACAAGACCCAGAGCAAGACAAGGCTCTGCAGCAGGTTCAGGCTGCTGTTCACCTGCTCTGCGTCTGGGGCCACATGATCCAGCATATCCAGTGGTACTTAAAGTGTCAGTGGAAGGTAGAGATGCTATCTGGAAGGCACCCATGGGTGAATCATAGTGGAGACCTTTAGAAATTTGGAGCAATGTTCTACCATCATCTATACGACTACTCTTCCCTTGAAAAACAGATCATGGATACTACTGGGTCTCCATGGAAACTGCCCAATTGACCATGGAACACCAGGTCACCATGAAATCCAAATGGCTTATCATGACCTGGACATTATCTAACCCACCGAGTCATAAGGTTGGACAGGCACAGCAACAATATATCATTAAATGGAAATGCTATATATGTGCTCTAACTAGAGCAGGGTAGAGGGCACAAGTAAATTATATGAAGAAGTTACCCAGATTACCATGGCTTGTACTCCTGCTATATTGCCTTCTACTTCCAAGCATGTACCAGTGGCTTTGTAGTGTGGCCACAGTTATCCGATCTTATAATTCCAATATGTTCATATATCTCATCCTATATCTATTTCTCTAGTAAATAATGACTAGTACCAACTTGGAACACTGCTGTTGCTTCCCTTGCTGTGTTAATGGCCTTGCTCATGGTGATTTCCCTGAGTATCTTGCGTGTTCCTGAAGTTGAAAGTGTGTTTTACCTTGTGACAGAAGGAACAGTACATGTCTCCTCTCAGGATTTTGCAAGCTGGTAGGATTCGGGGACTTCAAGAAAGTCAGTTACAGAATTTGCTCCAAGCTTGGGAAGGAGATGAGGCTGACATGGTAAGCAGTAGCCAGGCCCTGAGGAGCCTTGCAAGCTGTGGGTACATTTCTGACTTATTTTTCCTTTTGCTATTAGTAATTATTTGGCTTTGTTTAAAGATAACAACAAATCAGATAATAATGCATTTTTTTTTTGTCTTTCTGTCAGAGAAGCTAACAAAATGATTTGCCTCTTCATCTGGGGAAAAAAAAATCAGTTAATGAAGAGAGTAGTTGTAAACAATAGAATTAATTGCATCTCCTAGGACTATTATTTAGTGTCTATTTAAGGCTACTAGATTTTATTTTAATTACTCCATGGTGTGACTGGTTTGCATATATTTGCATGTGTCTATGAGAAGCATTTAAGGGATCCAAGATGACTTCAGCCTACTGTCAATTTTTCCTTCAGAGCCTAACCTCACTGAAGTAGGACGTAGTTTTTAAAATAGTTCATAGATATCAAAGGAAAATGACTGAAGGCAGAGATGTGGCACAGGTTTGAGGGTTCCCCTACATTCTGCAGCAAAACAAGACTCTCAGAAGGTCCAATCCCCAAGGTGCTAGTCTAATTGGACAGGTCATTGGATGAGGCTAGACTATAACAGAAACACTGAGAATAGTTCTTGTCCACCATGAGAGACATGAGCTGCCCTTAAGACCTGATTCAGGGACTGGTTACTTCCTACTAGTATACTAGTATTCCTTTTAAGGGTCAGCGTTTTCAAGGAGCCAACAAACTAAAGCTCTAGGAAAGGGCATAGCAGCTTGTAGCTCCAGTCTTTGGAGAAACAGTGTAAAATTGTTAAGAAATTGCTAGGAAGGAAGTACTCCTCTTGGGATTTCATAGCATTCATGTAGTTTGAAAAGCTTTTATAGGGGCAAGAGACACAATATCCAAATTTCATGGGATGAGCTTAGAAACCGAGTAAGAGAGAGGGAGGGAGAGAGAGAGAGAAAGAGAGAGAGAGAGAGAGAGAGAGAGAGAGAGAGAGAGACAGAGACAGAGAGAGACAGAGACAGACAGACGGAGACAGAGAGAGACAGAGACAGAGAGAGAGAGAGAGAGAGACAGACAGAGAGAGA